ATTTTGTATTTGCTGAGCCTTTCTATTTTTCTTCTTTTTTATTTTGATGTGTAGGATTGTTAGTTTCCTTTGTGGTTACCTTAATATTTACCCCTATTTTTCTAAGTTTAAACCAGTCTTTTATTTCTTTATATTGCCTTGACCTCTTCTCAATATGAAAAATCTATGTCTACATTTATTAGTCTTTTTTGTTTTAATGTTGTCATCTTTTACGTATTGATATCTGTTTCCCTATTTTCAGTGTTTTAGCTTTGATTTATTTTTGTGACTTCCATATCTGAGTTGATATCTGGTTGCTCTGTCCTGTGTTCTACTCTTGCATTGTTATCTGATGTTATTGATTTTCTAACCAGAGGACTCCCGAATGTAATTTTGGCTTGGGTTTTGCAAATTCCCTAAACTTTTGTATGTGGAAATGCCCTAATTTCACCATCATATTTGAGAGACAGTTTTGCTGGATATATAATTCTTGGCTGGCAATTTTTTTCCTTCAAGGCTTTATATATGTCATCCCATTGCCTTTTTGCCCGCATGGTTTCTGCTGAGTAGCTTGAGCTTATTCTTATTGACTCTCCTTTGTAGATGACTTTTTGTTTATTCCTAGCTGCTCTTAAAATTCTCGCTTTATCTTTGGTTTTGGCAATTTTGATTATAATATGTCTTGGTGACTTTCTTTTGGGATCTAGCTTATGTGGGGTTCAGTGAGCATCTTCAATAGACATCTTCTCATCTTTCATGATATCAGGGAAGTTTAATGTCAACAAATTTTCAACAGTTTTCTCTGTATTTTCTGTTATCCCCCGTTCTGCTACTCCAATCACTCGTAGGTTATTTCTCTTGATAGAGTCCCACATAACTCTTAGAGTTTCTTTGTTTTTTTAAATTCTTTTATCTGATTTTTCCTTGAATAAGTTGGTGTCAAGTGCTTTATCTTCAGTCTCACTAATACTGACTCCTGCTGTCTCAGTTCTGCTCCTGTGACTTTCGGTTGAGTTGTCTAATTCTGAAATTTTATTGTTAATCTTCTGAATTTCTGATTGCTGTTTCTCTATGGATTCTTGCAGCCTATTAATTTTGTCATCATGCTCCTGAATAATCTTTTTAAGTTCTGCTACTGCTTTTCTGTGTGTTGTGTAGCTTTCTCTGTGTTTTGTCGAATTTCCTTCATAATTTCTTCAAGAGTTCTGTATATTAATCTTTTGTATTCTGCCTCTGGTAATTCCAAGAAATTCTCTTCCTCCAGAAAATTGATTGATTATTTTGGGAGCTTGCTGAAGCCATCATGGACTGCCTCTTTATGTGATTTGATACTGACTGTTGTCTCTGAGCCATCAATAAGTTATTATAATTTTTTAATTTTATATTTGCTTAGTGTGTCCTAGCTTCTTGTTTCGTTTTGATATGCCCAAATAGGCTGCTCATGTGCGCTAGTTTGATTATTGGCGACTTTGAAGCTCTAACGTCCTATTACCAGGTAGTTAGATCTGTTACTATGTGAGCCCAGGTCTGTTAAATTTTCCTGTATGGATTCAGTTCAGGTATCCAGGCAGTCAGTCACCAAGTGTGTGGTGCAGTCTCTCGTCTACAGTCTTAGAGAGGCATAGGTGATTGGTGTAGGCACAGGTATCTGGCTGCAGTAGGGGGTCACGCATTGAGCAAGGCAGGGGGCTGACAGCTGCTCCTGAGTGTCTCAAAAGAAAGCGTGTCCCTGTTCCCTAGAGCGAGCAGGTAGGTGAGTTTTGCAGCTGGACTATAAGCACTTACTCTGTTGGTTGTAAGGACTGGGGGGCACCACTTACTAGGCCCCTGTCACAGTTGGCTAGGTGGCGTGGGTGGAGCCACCAGTCCTCAAGCCCTGATGTGGACAGGTAAGGAGCCTGCTTAAAAGGCAGAACACTGTCAAACTTCACAAACCTGCCACTTCACTGCTGAAACAGTTGAAGTTAGACTTCAGGTATTTACCCTGTTGTACTGTGGTAGTGAGGGCTTATGCTGTTGAGATGGGCCCACGCAAATCTATGCAGGGGTGAAAGGTACTCAAAGGCTGTGGAACCCTTATGCCTGCGTCTAGGCAAAGGAGCTGTGCCAACCCTGAGGTCCTGGCTTAGGGAAGCTGGTGGTTTATTTTTTCCATTTGTTAATTTGTTCCCTTTCCAAGGCTGGGAGAATAGGTCAGGGCACCTTATGGGATCTACTTCCGGCCCAGGAGACTGTTCAATCGCTGAAGCCGCCGGTGCAGAGTGGGGAGGGAGGAGGTAAATGGGAGAGAGGTTTTTCCCAAATAGTTTTTTTGTGTTTTTTTTTTAAATCCCCGTGGTAGGTCACACGCAAGTACTTATCTTTAGCCGCTTGAGTGCTGCTTTTCACTGGTTCTGGGTGTCCAAGTAGACTCTCTGCTGCTGGGTCTCTCTCGACAGGGAAAGTGCCTCCCGAGCAAGCACAGCTTTTTGCCTGGCTCACTGTGCACCCTGAACTGATCCGGGCTGAAGGGCTGCGGCTCCCGCTGGGTCAGGTCTGGCAACTCCTTGCTGCTTCTGAACCATCTCTTTCTTCCCCCGTCACTCAGTCCTATTCCTCAACTTTGCCTTTGATGTTCAGGGCTCCTAGATATTCATATACAATCAATTCACTTGTTTTTTCAGGTCTTTGTTGTCAGAGGGACATAGGAAGCTGTCTAACTGCTCCGCCATCTTGGTCCCATGAGACTGGAATTTTAATGACTAGAAACCCCATTCCCATGTGTCTCCATTCTTGTAGTGGAATAGTACAAACTCGAAAGGACCATGAACAGCTGAGATGTATGGCTGTTTCATATGGACATCACAATAAATGCTTTAAAAAGTTTTATGTATCTCCTAATCATTATGTTAGAAAAGTAAAGCAAAATATTGACTAATTGTTCCTAATACTTGCTTATTGCTCATAGAAGATAGTAAGTTGAGAAAAACCTAGATTTAAAAGCATTTTAATAGGCCGGCTAGCAAACCAATGAGTCAGAAATATGCGAAGAGAAACGGTTGTTTTTTCTGGAAATGGGGTAGGTCAGTGGTTCTTAAACATGTTGTCGTGACTCATTGGTTTGTCACAGTCAGTTGTTAGAGACATTAAATAAAGCATCAGTTTTTCAAAACCTCTGTCAAAAGATTTTTCTAAAAATCACATTTTATTTTTCTGTTTCTATAAAAGATTAAACTAATTGCCATTGAGTTGACTCTGACTCATGGTGAACCCATGTGTGGGTGAGTATAGTCCACATGAAGTTAAAAAAAAAAAAAACAAGAAACTTCAGTTATATGTCACCACAGATCCTCAATATCTGCCTTGAGGGAAACAGTAAAAAGGGCCTGTACATTACTTCCTCACAGTCTTTGCGAAGTCATGTTCAGGCGCAAGCTGAGGGCAACCCCTCTGTCCTTTCACTCTCATAGCTAAGTGAGTCACACAAACTCAGGATTCCATGACAGATCAGACACCATCATGGAAAGGACATAACAGTGTGGTTTACACCTGCCTTGGTATCTTGAATTTACCATATTTTTGCCTTCAAAAGAATCAAGGTCCAGTCTTGTGCTGAGAGGGAAGTGTGGTGAAATGAGTTCCTATATGTGGCCTTTTGCCTTGGTTTTTATGAAAAACAGCTTGATTTTTTCCCCCTAAGCCCTGAGGAGTTTCCTTTGCCCTAGTTTTGTACTCCAGAGAGTTTGTTACTTTTGTCTAGGTTGATTGACATTTCCTGGGTAAACTGTAAATGACTTGGTTTGATACTTTCTGCCTGGCCCTTGTCTACAGCCTGCCCTGTGACTGGTATGTACCTTGTAGGGACTGGTAAATAGATTATGCAAATGAGGTGAGTTGTAGCCCAGCTACAACTAATATGCAAATGAAGTGTCTGTGGCCTACTGAAAGGGTATTGGTTAGTTCATGGCCTTGGTGGGACAGCCATGCCTTGAAATTGATGAGAAGTTTGTAGCTATTAGCAGCCAGCCCCACAGAAGTTTTTCAGACAGAAAGAAGCAGGAAGAGAAGCAGCAGGAAGAAAGAAGAGAAGAAGAAGAAGAGCGAGAGAGAGAGAGAGAGAGAGAGAGGAGGCAAGAAACCTCCTAAAAGAGCTGTAACACTGGTCAAGGGCTGCAACACTGAAGACAGAAAAAGGCCTGGAAGGGGCCCAGCTGCAGAGCCAGTGGCAACACTCCTGGAAGCGGCCCAGCAGTTCAGCCAGCAGTGATAGATGGCAGGACCAAGAGGACCTGGCCTCAGGGGGCCGAGAGGAGGCCTGCACAGTCAAGAGGAGCAGAGAGAGCTGTCCTGCGCTAAAGAAGGAAGACTTTGCCTACATGCTTCCTGATCCTGGTTCCTGAGTTGTAGCCTGTTCCTTAATAAGGCACTCAACTGTAAGTATGGTCTGTGAGTTCTGTGTGGCCACTGCAACAGACTGTCGAACCCAAAAGGGAAGTAGAGAGTGCCATGGGAAGGACAGCTGGTGTTTGAATTGGTAAAAAAGTTGGAGAGTGGAGGTATATCTAACCTCCTCCTCATAGGGAGCAGCCCTGGGCTGATCATGATTTACATTATCCCCCCTGAAGTTGAACAGGTTCTGATGCTACTGATACTACTCTCCCATGCCGGATGCCTGGGTTTGATTCTCCACTAACATACCTCATGTGCAGCCACCACCAATCTGTCAGTGAAGGCTTGTGTGTTGCTATGATGCTGAACAGGTTCCAGTGGAGCTTCCAGACTAAGACAGAGTAGGAAGAAAGGCCTGGCGATCTATTTCCAAAAATCAGCCAGTGAAAATCCTATGAATCAAAATGGTCTGATCTGTAACTGATCATGTACTGGGCACAGGGTTGCCATGTGTCAGGGGTTGACTCGATGGCAGCTAACAATGACAACAACAAACATTACACTATAGAGGATGATCATTTTCTGCTATAACCCACTTTACCTGCTCTTGTTCTGGGTGTGCTACTGAAAGAACTAATGACATAAAGGTTATTGAATGAATGAATAATTCCAGATATTAGGTAATCCTTCTATATATGTTAGTTTTTCTAGCAGTTTTCATGCTTATATAAATTACTTCTTTCCCCTCACCCAAAGCTGTAAAATGAACTTTCAAATGTTATATATACCAACTGAGAATTTTAAACTTAGAAGAAATAGTTTAAAACCATTTTAAAATTCACCAGTACTAACCAGAGACCTCTTAGGCTCCTCGATAAAACAAACCAACAAACTACCACCAAAGAGCAAGGATTGAGGAAAAGAGGAATTTGATGAAAATAGGTATGCCACAACATCCTGGTGTACATAATCTTCATCTCTTGAGTGTGGACAGAACCTGGGAATATGAAGGGATAGAGCAGTATCACCATGGGAGTGTCTGTATTTGTTTTCTATTGCTGCATAATAAATTATCACAAATTTAGTGACTTAAAACAACTCATTTATTGTCTCACAGCTCTGTATGTCAGAAGTTCAGGCACAGCTCAGATAGATTCTCTATTCAGGTCTCATAAGGTTGAAGTAAAGGTGGGGCTGCAGTATCATCTGAAGGTCTTCTAAGCTTATTCAGGTTATTAGCAGAATCCTTGCAGCTGTACACAATAAGGCTAGTAGGAGAATCTCTCAGACTTCTTGTAAGGACTCACCCAATTAGGTCAGAACCACTCAGGAAAATATCCCTTTTGATTATTCACAGTCAGCTGATGAGGGACCTTAATTACATCTGCAGAATTCTGTCACCTTTCCCATATAACATAATCTAATCACAGGCATATAATGGGAATATCATCAGGGGATGTTTGGTTTGTGGTGAATGATTACTTAAAATAGCCAACTGTGAACATCATTTCATAAACAAATGACTGTAATTATATAATTGGTTTTATAATCTTTACATTTTTATATCACTTTACATTTTATAAAGTGCTTGTAATATTCTACCTCATTTGATTTTCACGACTACCTGTCAAAGAGAGGCACCCGCTGCCGTCAAGTCGACTCTGGCTCATAGCAAACCTATAGGACAGAGTAGAACCGCCCCAAATGGTTTCAAAAGAGCGCCTGGTGGATTTGAACTGCCAACTTTTTGGTCAGCAACCGTAGCTCTTAACCACTATGCCACCAGAAGGGATTAATTCGTCCAATGTTACAGGTCAAAAAAAACCCCAAGGCTCAAAGGAGCTGAGATTGCCCAAAGCTCTAGAGTAAACTAGTAGTTGAGCTGGGCTTCAGGTCAAGGTCTTTTGACTTTATATCCCAGAGTTGTTTTTACTAATCTTGTAGTTTTCAAACTGTGTTCAGAGAAACCCTAAAGTTACAAATAGTGTTTTAGGAATTACTGCGGAACTGCAAGTAACACTAAAGAAGGTAGGGCTAAATGTCAATGATGTAGCTACTTTTACCTGTTGAACATGTCTGGTTTGAAAATTACTACACTACACCCTGCTGCCTAGTTAAAGGTAAAGAAGAATGTTTACCAAAATATTTAATTTATAAAAAATAGTTTGAGTAGCTTTATATAAAAAGCCAAGAGTCTATTCCAATAGTTTTAAGAAATCCTGAAGTTGTCATCTCTTTGCAGCAGCTGTTGAACCTTTAAAACAAACAAGAAAGAGAAAAGGAAAAAGAGCCACATTAAATAGTTGGTTTGAAATGTATATAGCTAGGAAAAAACTACTAACCCCATCCCCTTCGCTTTTCAAATAAGCATAAAAATTTAATACCTTCTTAATGTCTGGTCTCTTATTTTTCTTCTCATGCAGACACTGACTAGCAACAGAGTACACAGTTTCAACTGAACTGGAATCAATGTCATTCATCTTCATATCGATATAATCTTCAATTGTCTTTTCTTCATCTTCAATTTCTTCTTTGATATCTAGCTTTAAAATGAGAGTCAAAACTTTGTTAAGAGCTTCACATAAAAATGAAAGAAATTAGAATATAAAATTATTTAATTTACTTCATAATAACATGTATTCTCATTTGACTATCTACCTTTATAGCTTTATTAAGAACTGAAGACATACAAGAGAAGTCTTATATATATACATATATTCACTCATTTTTGCCTTCTAGATACTTTCAGTCATTTGTCTTCTAATTTTTGTAGTTATGTTACTGAGCTAATTGCTTTCATGTTACCATTAGCAGCATTTACTACTTCCTGATGTGCTTCTGTAAGGGGTTTCCAACTTCAAGGCCCAGCCTCCCCCTCCCTGTACTCAGAAAACATCTGCTCTATGGGTGCTCTGTTAAATCAAAGAGCACAAGGGGGTGGGGCAAGATGGGCAAGGGTCAGGATGAAAAAACAATGAATGAAGAGGTTCAGGACTAGGATGAAAGCCTGTTTATATAAGGTAGATTGTAAACGCTCCCAAAACCAAACCACACCAAACCTGCTGCCATGGAGCCAATTCTGACTCATAGTGACCCTATAGGACAGAGTAGAACTTCCCCTTGGGGTTTCCAAGGAGCAGCTGGTGGGTTCCAACTGCAAACCTTTTGGTTAGCAGCCGAGCTCTTAACCACTGTGCCACCAGGGCTCCAAACGCTCCAAAAATCCTTCTGAAATAGGAATTTTGAAAGTGTTTGAGCAATGGCAGACTCAAGTGATTAGAAGACACTTTAAAGGATCACTCCTTTTTTAGCTGTACTTGCATTAAAATCTTATTGCTTTATAGTCATACCATATTTAAACCTTAAGAACAGGTGAAAGTGTATAACCTTCCCTGAAGTTTTATGATGTTCGCTGTTGTAAGGTAAAGTATTAAACTTGTGACTGAGATGGATTCTGTGTTTTTCTGTATTTCATCCTTACTCAAGTCAAAGTTTTGAGGCTTTTATACACTGTGAGGGGTAAGGGAGGGAAGTTTTATGTAAAAGGATAGAAAATTAAGGTTTTTAGACAGGAAGGCCTTATTAAAAAGTACAAGCTTCAGGTTAGTGCAACATTGGGTCCCATCTTTGCCCTTCCTATACCTCTTTTTCCCTTGCCCTTCTGTATTTTTAATCTATACGCTTTCTTTGTATACACCAATCCGTTTGCAAAGCTTTATGCCCGTACACCAATGGCTCAAAAATGGCATCTCCAACCCAGGCTTCTCTCCTAACATCCAACAACCCGTGGGACAGAGAATTTTATTTCTCTGATGAAGACAAAATTTCACTTTTTATTGTCACTGTAAAAATCCAAGTATTATGAAAATAATAACCACAATAGTTTTAATATTATATTCTATAAGTATATCTCAATGTAATTATTCTGTTGCATTATTATATTTCCTATACATCATGAAAAGCTTTATAATGTACAGTTTTATTATGGACACCTGTATGCAACACAATAACATATAAATACTGTACTTAGAGCCCTGGTGGCACAGTGGTTAAATGCTCAACTGCGAACAAAAAGGTCAGCAGTTTAAACCCAGCCAGCCGCTTCCTGGAAGAAAGATGTTGCTTCTGTGAAGATTTACAGCCTTGGAAACCCTATGGGGCAGTCCTACTCTGTCCTATAGGGTTGCTATGAGTTGGAATCGACTAGACAGCAACAGGTTATTGTACTTATGGCTTTTCTCAAAAGAGTATGCCGCTAGACCCTTGGGTGGATATAGTATACCTTCTGACTTTCTAATACTCATTCTGGCATATGTATATTGCCTGAATTTGTTATACTGGTTTGTCTCATTAGAACGCACAAATTAGAAAAAAAGTCAGTGTAGTTATTTAATTAATTTTAAGAAAAACTTATACATGATAGTAAGGAGCCCCAGTGGTGCAGTGGTTAAAGCGCTAGGCTGTTAACTGAAAGGTTGGCAATTCGAACCCACCAGCCGCTCCGTGGGAGAAAGATGTGGCAGTCTGCTTCCATAAAGATTTACAGCCTTGGAAACCCTATGGAGCAGTTCTACTTCATCCTACAGGGTTGCATAGGTATTTTGTAATTCTTTAGTTTTACAAAAAGACTCTTTAAGTTCTTAAAATTTACTATATAGGAAAAAAAGAGCATGGTATGATTTTTCTATAATTTTAGTATTCAGTTAATTTACTATATACAACTGTCAGAAACCCTGGGTGGTACAAATGATTAACATACTTGGCTGCTAACCAAAAGGTTGGTGGTTCGAGCCCACCCAGAGGCACCTGAGATGAAAGGCCTGGCAATCTACTTCCAAAAAATCGGCCATTGAAAACCCTAAAAAAGTGCAGTTCTACCCTCACATACATAGGGTCGCTATCAGTCGGAATCAACTTCTCGCCAACTTTTTTTTTTTTTTTAAATAAATCTGTCAGTAGATGGCTAATCAAACAAATTAGGTAGTTTTATGTAACTTTATAAATAAAATATTCCAAAATAGAAATGGATAGAGAACTTTTACTAGCAATTCTATTCTGATATAAATTTGAATCGAAGCCATGTCGTTTTTTCTCTCTGAGCTGAAAATGCCGTTAGTAACCATACTGAAAGTAACAAAATAAACATAAACTGGACAAAACCTCAGAAGTCATATCTTTTCATTTTAAAAGAACCAGAACACAGAATATATAAGTGACTTTTCAAGCATCACAAATACTTCATGGCAGAGCTGAGATTAGAAATATTTAATGTTCTTTCTGTATGTCACCATGTAATTGCCAATGGAAAGAATGCCAATAGAAAATGCTATTTCTAGATGCCAAACTTACCCATATAAATTTAGACTATGAATTCAAAGGAAAAAGATTCGAAAAATGAATCTGTCAATTACCAATAACTGGGGTTCACGGTGTTCATCCACAGCTGGAAGTCCAGTTATTATTTCTAGTAAAACCTATGAATACAAAACAAAACAAAAAAAAACAAATCCTTTAACACTCAGGACACCATATAGAAACTAGAAGAAATATGGACCTTGATAATGAAATCTGATAAATCATTTCTGTACAAAGCATTATATCTTTAAGTTATTAAAGTAGAAAGAACATGAGCTGTAGGCATTTATCACCACCATTCTCTGACGGTGCAGTGGTTAAGAGCTCAGCTGCTAACCAAAAGGTCGGCAGATCGAATCCACCAGCTGCTCCTTGGAAACCCTACGGGGCAGTTCTACTCTGTGTTAATAGGGTTGCTATAAGTCAGAATCGACTTAACGGCAACAGGTTTGGTTTGGTATTTTTCTCTCATGAACATCTTGGATCCCACCCATCCTCATAAGCACCTCTTTATTTGGCAACTTATGAAAGAATCAGCTCCACTCAACATGTATTATGGGACTTCTCAGCCCTTTTTCTGCTTTGCAGGGGATTCTTCACAAGAATAATTTTCTCCATAAGAATATTATTTTCTAAATGAACAAATTTCAGCGGAGCTTCCAGATTAACATGGACTAGGAGGAAAAGCCTGGCAATCTACTTCCAAAAATCAGCCAATGAAAACCCTATGGATCACAATGGTGCGACTGGCAACCGATCACGGGGATGGTGAAGGACCGGGCAGCATTTCGTTTTACTTTGTACGGGGTCACCATGAGTCGGGGCAGACTTAATGGCAGCTAATAACAAAACAAGGCTAAGGGTATATTATATTGCTGCATCTTACTTCATAGTGCTACTTGAAATACAAGTTAATAGGAACAGACTGGTAATCACAAAATATGAGTGTATTTCCTTAAGAAAACATTTCATTTTTAAAATGTGAGACTGAAGAAGTGCATACTGTATGTCATGATTTATTTTACATACTTTTTTTAGCTTCATAATAATTCATGAGGACTATGTGGCAAGAAAATCTTTTCTTGCAGTAGTTTCAGAAATCAAAAGTTTTACACTGGGAGAAGTTTTTCTGAACTTTCTGATCTAACTAGGAATAAAAGTGAACAATTTACAGCTTTACATAAGAGAGCTAAGCAATACAGGTGTATTTAAGAATATTCTACTTCAATTTCACAGTTATAACCAGAATGAACATTGTTACTAATCATCTACATGAAACTTACCACACCAAAGCTGTAGATGTCAGATTTGGGTGTGATTTCTCCTCGCAAAGCTTCAGGTGCCATATAAGCTGTTGTTCCCACGATTCTGCTAGTCATGACTGTCTGGGCAAACTTCTCAGAAGCCCGTGCGAGCCCAAAGTCAGAAATTTTGGCTATAAAGGCTTCATCTAGCAAGATGTTTGCACTGAAAAAAATTTAAAGTTTGGAGAAAAAAAATGTTTTTCTTCCCAAGCAAGTCAAGCAGTATTATCTATCTGCCTGTCTATAAATATATGAATGTACACATATCACAATAGCCTCATATTTGTGTAAATAAATCCAGAATTCAGATTACAGCTCAAGAGAAATAACTGTCTTCCTTTTTTGTTTTTTGAAAAAAATTATGATAGCATAAATGAAATAAAACTATCCATGCTGGGAAGAGAGATTTTCATTATTTCACAAATAATCTATTATAGGGTAATTTCCCTCAAAGTCTTCTAAACCAGCATTTTTAATTACTTTACTAGCATTTCTCAATTCATTAAAAAAAAAATTCCAACTAAAGTATCTCAACTATTTATTTTTAAAACTATCTTTTTTTCCTGTACTATCTGAAATCTTCTGAAGAGGAAAGATTATGGCTAAAAGATCTTCATTTATTAATTATACATGTTCATTTATACATTTATTCTTTTCTTCAACAAAACCTTATTGAGGACTCCCTGTGTATCACTATGAAAGCTCGGTGCTAGCTATGGGTGGAATCTTAGAATTTTGTCTGCGACAAGGGCATGTGAATAAATAATTAAAAACAATAAATAAAGGCCTCCATCGGACCGAGTCCAGTACAGCTAGATGGTGCCCGGCTACCACCACTGACTGCTCTGAC